TCCCCCCCCCCCCCCTCTCTCTCCGGTGTGCGCAGCATTTGTTTGGTTGTTTGCCTGTCGAGTGAGAGCATGCACAGCATGCACATTGTGCTCTTTCGCATCGGTGGCGGAGATACACACGCTAGATATGACATACGCGACCATACGCGATATCCATATAAATCATGTGACGTGCAGTAAATGCGGATTGATCGCGCTTAGAGTCTGGGGTCAGTTCGAAGTCTGAAGCATCCTCCCACTCAGCGACCGACCAATCCCCACATACACATACACAAAAGCATCGATCCATCGATGGCTATTCTGTGGCACCCGTGGCCGGACATGTGTCTCCTATAGCACTGACTCAATGAAAAATAAAATGCAGGCAGCCATGGATAGATTGATGAGGACAGCTGGTCTCCTGCTCGCCGTGATGAGACTGCAGTCGTGCTCTTCCGAGGGAGCCGTAGTGGATTGTGTAGGGGCGGGCGAGTGAGGTTTCGTTGCGGTGTACAGGCACACCAGCAGTGATGACGAACGAGCCCAGCCAAGGAAAGCCAAAACCGCTTGAACAACACAAGAAATGTCCTTCTGGTCTTCACGAGCTGTCTTCACCCACCACGTATGAACTTCACGAGCTGGCCCACACGTATGCCAGTGGGACGGGCTCGCCCGTGTCACCGTCGACGTATGCCTGTGCCTGGCGGAGGATGTCGCAGCCATATATCTTCAGGGGCCGGCAGTGTGCTTGACGAAGACGCTGCGGTGGATGCAGTCTGCGCGAACAGACAGGAAAGAAACGGAAGAAGCACATCAGACAATCAATTTGTATGTTCCCAATGTGTCCTCATCCCCCCTTATTGTCGAGGAGCCCCGGCCAGATGTAGCCCATTGCCGTCTTCTCCATCCACTTGAGTCATCAGCTGGGGCTCTCCGCCTTCTTCGACCTCCATCAGCAGCTCTTGAGCAGCTCAGCCACTCACTGCACACACATGCATATGTCTCCGCGTGAGTGTCTCACGTGTACAGCCACCCACCTGCACAACTTGTTTGAGCCTCTGGTGCAGGGTCCATTCCTCCTGGTCGAACTGAAACACGCACCGCTCTTTCAACGGGATGCGTTGAAGAGCTGGTATGGGGTGCACGGCCAACATGACACTTTGACGCAGCATGCACCTGGAGGGTCAAGTGCCTCTAATATAAAATGTCGGCAGCGATGCCCAGCGCCCAATTCCTCCTCGGCACCGGGGGGCGGATGCGAGCCAGCGTGATTTCATATATGAGCTGGGCCGCGATGGATACCGCCTGCCACTCGGCTGGCCTCCACCATGTCGACAACCTGGTCCATCAGCGAGGTAGCTCTCGTGCACCCAGGCCCTCTCGACGGCCAGCTCTGCACAGCGTCAAAGGGCGAGATGGAGAGACACAAAAGAGAGAGAGACTGTCTGCCTTTTCTATGTACAGGGGAGTTTGTCGAATTTGCGCTGGCGGGGGATGGGCGTGCGGGGCTGCGGCTCCTCGATGAGTCTCCATACCCTTCCTCATCGCCCCACGCATGCAGTTTCGCTCTCATGGCCCCGTGTTCTTGTCGTTGTTGCCTTGAGTGCAGCCATCGCCTGCCATTGGTCTCCATAAAGTGCCAGTTTGACCCTGGCCTCTCCCCTACGCCTGGCGACTGCAGCGCCTTAAGGGCGCGGTTCAGCTTGTCGCCGAGGTGGTGGAAGTGCCAGGGCCGGCAGGCATTCTTGCCCCCCTTCGCTTCCAGCGCGTAGTAAAGATAGATGGGAGCGTCTGGATTGCGAAGGGAGCCAAGCGGGCCGATGGCGAGGTCGATGACTGCACCAGCACCGGGCCGTCACTCAATGAGGGCCTCCATCGCCGCCAGGCCGTCTGAGAACTTCCGCTCACCCGCCAGGCCGCAAAACGCCTTGCAAGCTGGCTGAATCCACGGCTCGTCTCTCTAAGTCTTTCTAAGGACTCTTAAAGTTGAGGACAAAAGCGCCACACCCCAGACAGGTTGGCTGTCTCCGAGACGATGAGGAACACCTTTGATGACCGCGAGTGTGATGAGGAACACCTTGCCCCACGGGGTGTTGCGGGAAAAACGAGTGCATCTGTTGGGATCTGCATACATACATACATCGCATCACAACGCAGCATGACCCGCCTGCACTGGCCCGTTCTCCCTCTCTCTCCGCAGTCTACTTTCGAGTGTCACGACGATGGGGTTGTTGATGTCTTGGCCGCTGTCGCCGAAATACGATTGCGGCGTGGCGGCAGATGACGGGATGGGTGGACGGCCGAAAAACTGGACGTCCTGCCGGCGATGGTACGACTGGACGTTGTTGAATGTGCGGAGTAGGTCCTCCTGCAGCAATTTCATCTGAGGTGGGTCTGCAGCTGTCCTCTCTGCTCCCTTCAGAGCCGCATCGAAGGCAGAGGCATTCATTGCGACGTTGTCGATGAACACAACTTTCTCCTTCGCACTCAGTGCCGTCAACATCACGACTCGGTGGTCTGTTGTGTCGTGCTGCCTTCCGTCCATCTACCTGCTGTGCGTCGCTCTGTGGGCGGATGAAGAGTGTATTGCATTGGCGAGGAATCGGACGAGCTGACGCCAACCAGCTGACGGAGCATTCGTACTCGGGTCTCGAAATCGTGGAGCGACCCCTGGACGAACCGCTGGCGGTCGCCACACGCCAACTCACCGACCATCACACCCCTCTGCACATGGGCGTAGGAGGCCTTCCCCTCTGGACGGGAGCGAGCGAGGGGAAGGGCCTGAGGCCTTGGCCTGAGGTTTCGCCTGCGGTCACGAGCGAAAAGGAAAAGGAAGGCGCATCTGCGGGCAATCTGCGGGCTGGTTGATGCAAGAAAAAAAAGATCGAGCATCTTGTCCCCCCGCCCAGCTTTCTTCCGTCCGGCGGTGGGGGAGTCGTTGTCGTCGTTGTCGTCGTTGCCAGGGGGATTTATGGGATGACGCGGAGAAAAAGAAAGAAAGCCGTCTCTCGTCCAGATTTCTCGACACTTTTTTGCGAGCTCATTTCAAGGGAATTGCTGGAAGGCCACAGAAGGCCAGCAGCCGATGGGTGAGTAGAGGCATTCACACCTCCTCTGGATGAATCCAAAGACTGTGTTTCTTTCGGTGTGATGTGTTGCTTTCCTTTCAGGCGGGGGAGATCATGTCTGGCGGGCAGAGCAACGCCGCCCCGATCCTGCTGGATACGCCATCGCAGTCGGAGCATGAGCATGAGTCATCGCAGGAAGGCCGCAACAACAAAGGCAGAAAACAGGTCAGACCGATTGGATGGATGGATGGATCAGATATCTCCGGCCGTGTGTTGTGGGTGGAGACGAGATCCATCCATCAGTGGCGCACATGTGTGGTCCGTCTGTAGGCTGCTGAGGGTAGTCGTGTTGGTGCTGCCAGTGGTGCTGCGGTGGCGGCAGTAGCTGCTCCTGCTGCTGCTGCCGATGAGAGCAAGGCAAAGCCGAGATGGTGGGAGCAGGTGAGCATTCACACACACTACACACGATTGGCGCCTCAAGATGGTGGTGTGGTTCTCTGCCTGGCAGCCCGCCCCGCCTGCTGCCATTCCAAAGATCGATGACATCGACGACCTAGAGCTGGGTGATGATGACGCACATGACGCACTCGCAATGCAGGTACGGTGACACACACACACACACACACACTCATGCGAAGGAGCACACTTGTCGTTTCGTTCTGTGTGTCATATGGTGTGATCAGGTGGACGTCCCACCTCCCCTATTTCTCAACGGCAGAAAGGTCGCTCGCTGGGCGAGTCGAGTGCCACACACACGTGGATCGTGGTGTTGGCACATGTGTGGTGTGGATGTGTGTGTCAGGGAGGTGGCAATGAGGCCAACAGCAAGCAGAAGGTGAGGCGGCGGCGAAGGAGGGACGAGGACGACCCCACACAAGACAAGCTACCCATTCACAAGCTGCTAGAGCAGCCAACGGTCAGACAGCTGTCAGCCACACCGGGGCATCCATCCACACCCACACACCCATGTGTAGGTGTGTGTTCTTCACAACAGGATGATGCGGCGCGTGCAGGATGGCTCCGTCGGATACGGCGCAGGTTGATCAAGACTGAGGCGATGCTCACCAAGTACCAGTGGGAGCGAATGCAGATCCTCGCTGCCGTCAACCAGTAACCAACCCATTGCCCCACACCCCCACACACAAGTGTATACCATGAGCGTCTGTGTGTGTGTGTGTAAGGGTGCCTGTGGATGAGGTGAGCGGCCTCTTCCCCCGGTCGCCCTTCCACCAGCTGCCGACGAGGGAGCGGAGGATTGACGACGGCATGAGGCGCAACGGTATGGGTGGTGGAAGGATGGAACCGTATCTGATATACATATCCCTTGCTTCTCCGTCTGTGGGTGTGTTGGCGGCTGTCAGCCATAGCTCTCCCAGATGCAGAGGGGCGGCGAGATGACAATGGTGGCGGCGGTGCTGGCATCATGATGCCATCGGGTCGCGAGCCCGCGTTGCCCGCGTCCATGTGGCACCTCACACATGGTACAATCACCCACCCAATGCACACAGACACATAATAGAGATGCGTGTGTGGTCTTTCTCGACCAGGCCGTGTGGCCCCCCAGTGTGACGACGCTGCCCTTTTCGCCACGCCCCCGGAGCCACAGCCACAGCCACGGCCACAGCATACCATATCATCCGAACCGCACAGAGACAGTAGCAGACGTACGCCCCCTTGCCCCCAATTCCCTACCCATCCACCCAATGCACGTGTGTGCGCGTGTGTGTGTGTGTGTGTGTGTTTAGCGATGGCTTTCAGCCAGTCGTCCCACCAAGGTGATGGGTTTGAGGAGATGGTGGTCATCGGGGGGTCCAGCGGGGCCAAGGTGGCGCCGCCACTCATGACCACCAGAAAACACAGACACAGAGAGGTCAGTCGGCGAGCCAGAGGGAGAGGGGGAGAGGGAGAGGGAGGTACCTCCTCCAGCCCTTCCCCCATCTGTCTGTCTGTCTGTCTGTGTGTGTGTGTGTGTGTGTGTGAATGTGTGTGCCTGTGGCTTTGTGTGCAGAGGAGCCGTGGCCATTCTGGTCAGTCTGCTTCTGCACACGACAATCCGGACAAGGATGCCCACGACAGACACGAGCCACATCCACCCCAACCACCACCACCAGCGCCACCACCACCAGCACCGCACCCTGTAGATGTAGACATGGACATGGTCGAGAATGTCGGTGGTCAAGAAGAACAGCAGGAGCCGGCCGCTGCAGCAGCAGCGGCAGCTTCAGGAGAGCCACATGAGCCCCGAGGGCCACGTGAGTCTCTGCCGCTGCCGGCGTTGTTCGACCAGATGTTCTCGCCGCCCGACCCCACACAGACACAGATCGACGGACCAGCAGCAGGAGGGGCAGGGGCGTTCCCGCCCCTCTGGCCGCTCAACCGCGACAATGACAACGGGTGGGTCAGCACAGTGCACAGACAGACAGATGGGCAACGGGCAGATGGGCTTTGGTTGTGTTCAGGCCATCACAGGAGGGAGGCGGAGAGAGAGAGGCTGGCGATGAAAGGTCAGTCAGTTCAGGAAATCTTTTGGCTGGCGATGAAAGGTCAGTCAGTTCAGGAGATCTTTTTTTTTTTCATGATTCCTTACTTGGTGTGTCTGTCTGTTGACAACAACAGCAACGGGGTAGAGGTAGAGATGGATCATGATGCGGCAATGGGTGAGATGGGTGAGATGGGTGGTGGTGACGCTATGGGCGATGCCGGTGGTGACCCGCACGCTACCATCCCCATCCCTATTGATGACGATGACGGTGATGACCACGACGACAACCATAGAGACGACGGCAGAGGCCTGCACACAGACAGAGACGAGCAGATGCCGGTGGGTGGGCCGCAAGGCAAACATCTGGCACACGATTCAATGCCCTTGTCTTGTTCCTACTGTCCACTCTCTATGTCAGGGTGGCCGCAATGGTGGCCGACGTGATGGTGATGGGCTCGACTTGGATCTAGACATGGATGAGGATCATGAGGATCTTGAGGAGAACGAGGAGGAGGACGTTGACGCCACATCCTTGGGGATGCACTTGCCCACACACACAGCTGACCCTGATGTGAGCGCACACACACATCCCCCTCCCCCCTTTCCCCCCCTCTCTCTCCCACCGCCCATTCATCATGGTGTCATGCGATGCATCAGGTGTGGATAGGGTGCTGTCCGTTGTGGTTCCGGCGTCACCAGCCCTCCTATGAGGACCAGTTCAGGGATATCGCCGGCAGAGAGAGAGACGAGGTAGGGTGGGCAAAGAGAGACAGATGGGCCATTACACACACACACACACACCCAGCCACATTTGCCCCGTCTCTGTCTGTCTGTCTGTGTCTATGTGCGTGTCAGCTGGTGTGCACGCTGCCCGCCTTGATGGACGAGCAGGCCCGGCTGTCTGCCGAGGGCGACGGCGTGTCTGCGCGCATCTACGAGATCTGGATCGCCTACGTCACCAGAATGATCGACGAAACGGTGAACTCGGGCACGAGAAGAGACGAGAGGAGGTCACGGATGGGCACATGAGTGTGATGAAAATTGTAGGAGGAGCGGGCCGCTGCAGAGGCATCGTCGGCCTCTGCTGCTGCCGCTGCTGCTGCTGCTGCTGCTGCCGGTGAGTGAGGGATGCACACCCACACAGACACATGGATGGACGAATGGCCCGTTTCTCTCCCTCTCTCTCTGTGTGTGTGTGTGTGTATGTCAGCTGCGCCCCCAGCAGGGCCACCAGCACCAGAGCCACCAGCACCAGCAGCAGCTGCAGCAGCGGCAGTATCGTCCCCGCCCCCTCCACCAAACAACGCAGCTGCTGCTGCTGCTGACAACGGTACCCACAGACTCACCGTCCGATAAACACGTGAAGCGTGCAACGTGTCTGTCCGGTGTCATCTATCTATGTGTGCAGGCGGAATGGGGCAGGGGCCGGGCACACTGACCGATGAGACAGGTCGGTGAGAGGGCGAACGTGATCCGCACTCACAAAGGCAATGCACAGACTGCTGTTGTTCTGTTCTGTCTGCTTGTGCAGAGGTGATCCCATCTCGCCCCGACACACAGCCGCCCTCTCCCTCACCAGCAGCTGCTGCAGCAGCAGCAGCATCGCAGAACAACGATATTGCTGATGACGACGGCGATGAGCCGATAGACCTTACCCAAGTGAGAATGGACAGCGAGAGGGAGGGAGGAAGGGAGGGAGAGAGGGGGAGAGATTGGGGGGAAGCCGCGCATCCCATCTCATCCACAGCCACGATCACATGGGGGTTTGACATATGGACCTGCAGGACTCTCCCCCCCTGGCGATTCCGCCCCCATTGGTGTCGCGCATCCCACTGGCTGAGAGGCTGGCGCAGCGGAGGGGAGGCGGCACCAACACAAACAATAGCCATAGCAATGGTATGCCCATTGGCACTCTTGTGGAGTGGCTGGCTCTCTTTCTCCCTCTCCCTCTGTGTGTCTGTGTGTGTGTGTGTGTGTGTGCGTCAGCCCCCCCGCCCCTTTTCGATGCCGACGACGCTCCGCCAGGCACCCACAGACACGCACAGATACTCCCCCATCCTTCAACACGTCTGTCTGTCTGTCTGTCTGTCTGTCTGCAGGCCCCCCTCCCGCCTTCTCCGCCCATCCTCAGTCGTCACAGCACGGTGCTGCTGGTGGTGGTGACGCCTCGCAATCCCAATCCCAATCCCAATCGCAGTCACAGAGGGAGAGGGAGAGAGCGCCACCACGAGCCCCCCCACCACCACCCCCACCAGCAGCAGCACCACCGCCACCGCCACCAAAAGGCCACAACAACGCCCCCAGACGCAGCCCATACCAATCTCAAGACCACCCACAAGGCACCTACGCAGAAAGAGCGCGACAAGCGGCGCGCAGAGAAATGATGGAACATGCACACGCCGAGCTCGACGGTGACGGTGATGATGACGATTTCGAGCCTCAGAGGAGGCCCTCTGCGCGCGCAGAGGGCCGTGCCGAGAGGCTGGAGGCCGTCTTCGACAGCGACGATTCGGATGAGGACATGTGCACACAACAGGAGGGTGGCAGGGGTGGTGGAAAGGGGTCGCAGAGTGCCAGTGCCAGCCAGTCTGCCAGCGCATCGGCATCGGCATCGGCATCGGCATCGGCTGCTGCGGCTTTTGCGTCATCTTCACAGCACTCTCAGGGTTGGTGGGGGGTGGACGCGGAGAGATCTGTGTCCATGACCGAGTGATTCGTGTGCGTGTGTGTGTGTGTGTGTGTGTAGGTCCTGCACAGCACAAGCGGAAGCAGCAGGGGGCAGGCGGGGCGAAACCCAAGAGGCTCAGAAAGAACCAGCCTGTGTCAGG